TTAAAATTGCTATTAACAATTTTATTGGTGCCGGCGGGGATCGAACCCGCTTTGCTCGCGTATTGTGAAATTTATAGCGAGTGCTAACCATCTGAGCTACCACGGCTCTACTTTGCTATTTGCATGTCTAAGAAATAAAAAATTAAACGCTCATATCAATACGCGGCATTCCCTGCAAACTTTTTGAAAGCTACCTCACGAATGAATACTTACTTTTCATACCATTAAAAAAAACTCTCATTTTTAGTACAACCAACTCGCTAGTTCCCACGATCTACGCAAGTTGCGTATACAATATATGTATATTAAAAAAATATTCAATCTTATCTTTTCTCGCATCCTTCCACATATATATCCCCACCCACACACGCACTTACTCACCTAATACGCACGTACGCACACGCTCGCATACATGCACACCTACACTTACAAACGCTAAAATAATAAAAATTTATATAGTGGCTGGATTTCTGAAATTTTTACTCGTATAAAATACCATCATCATATTGGTACTTAGTTCCACCTTTTATTTAATCAAGAGGGTATTGTTTTCGTACTATTATTCTATTCCTGTTTTTAAATTAAAGTTGTTTTCCTCCTCATTTATATACATCTGGTGGCTTTTCTGTGTTTTTGCATTGGATTCCTGGTAACGTGTAACATTTTGGTAACGGGATCGGAAACCTACTTTAATCCAAGCACAATGTTAAGTATATTGTATGTTAATATATACAAGGTGATTTTGCTATTATTATTTTTACTGGTAACAAAAATACACTGCAATTATGAGTGTATTGTAAATTGGTATTTGGCTCAATACCATTTGCCACCGCGTCCTTTATTATTATTGGCCATAGCAGTTTTGGCAAAGCTACGTCCGCCTGTTTCTAATATATGACTTTCACCGCAGTGTTGGTTTTTAAATTTAAGTTATTATAAAACTGAAATAAATATAACTATAGCAGCAGAATTCGCTTTAAAAGAAGAGAAATAAGTTTTTCTGTCAGCAATTATTGGCGATATTAATTGCGTAACATAACTGTTAATACACACACACACACACACACACACACACGCACGCACGCACGCACGCACGCACGCACGCACGCACGCACGCACGCACGCACGCACGCACGCACGCACGCACGCACGCACGCACGCACGCACGCACGCACGCACGCACGCACGCACGCACGCACGCACGCACGCACGCACGCACGCACGCACGCACACACACACACACACACACACACACACACACACACACACACACACACACACACACATACACAAACACTTACGCCTGTCACCCAGAGGGGTAAGCAGAGACTACGGACTTCCATTTGGCACTTGATTACTAATAACGATCAATATTTTCGTTAGTACTGCCATAAATCATAATATACAAAATTCGAACATTAAGGATAATTCTGTAACGAAACCTATATGCAAATCACGATCTGATGTAAAATATAACAAACCAGGAAAAAAAATACAGCTCACAATATTATTTCAAAACATACAGAGCATCTTCAATAAACAAGACATACTAGAAGCATTTTTGATAGAGTTCCCACAGTTTCAAGTAATATGTATCACAGAATCTTGGCTAACGCTTGAAAAACTACAGATAATACAATTTTCAAATTATAGGATAGCTGCTTCATTCTGTAGAAAATCCCGCGTTGGCGGCGGAGTTTGTATCTTGTTGAGAGATGTTCTAAAATATGAAGAAAGAGAATAAATAGCCAAAATGCAATAGAATATATAATATAAGTGTGTGCAGTGGAGCTACCAGAAGAAAATATTTTAATTATAACTGTGTATTGGAATGGAAGAGAGGAAGACGCATTCTATAATCGGTTACAATATATCTTAAATTATATAAATAATTTTTTTTCTAAATACAGTATAATTATAGTAGGTGACTTCAATATTGACATATTAAAAGATAATACAAAGACTAGACAATTTTTAAATCTAAAGCTAGAATTTCAATTTAATCGACATATAACAAAGCCTACTCGTATAACTAAAAAGACATCAACATGCTTAGACTTAATATTTACAAATTTCTGCAACCTAAAACTAAAAACTAGTGTAGAAGAATTTGGACTTTCCGACCACATGAGCACAATTATAGATATAGAAATAAATAAGCAAAACGTACAAAATATATGGTATACAAAAAAAGAAAATTTAATTTCAATAATATGCAAAACTTTAAATCCAAATTAGAGTCATGCAATTGGGCGGAAATTTTGGATCCTAATAAAAATATTAACTATAACTACAAAAGTTTAACGATAAACTAATATATATACTGAATGAATGTATACCCAAAGAGAATATAAAAAAATTATAATTAAACCAAGATATAAAAAAAACGTTGGTTAACCATAGGGTTGAAAAAATCGTGTAAACACAAAAAATGCTAAAGGTATTGGCATTAAAATCGAATATTGAAATACTTATCCAACATTATAAAAAATATGGAAAATTACTAAAAAAAGCTGTCATTACATGAAAGAAAATAGAATACAGTAATAAAATTATAAGATCAAATAATAAAATCAAAACAATGTGGCATATAATAAAGGAAAGAACAAATAAAAATATTATAAAAGAAAAAGATAACCTTAAACTAAAAATAAACAGTACTTTAACTTCAGACCCGATTTTAATAGTAAATACTTTTAATAGGTTCTATGCTTCGTTAGGCAAAAATTGTAACCCGCCAGCACGTGGTCGAACTGCACAAAAAGCGTCAAATAACTCTATGTATCTCAGCCCAGTAACCCCAAGGGAAGTATATAAAATAATACAAAATTTAAAAAATAGAATGAGCTTCGGGATAGACGAATTACCACCAAACTTAATAAAACATTGCGCAGATGCATTAGCTCTACCACTTTGTGAACTAATCAACCAATCTCTGACAGAAGGCATTTTTCCAAACATGTCAAAAAAGGCATTAATAATACCCATCCATAAGAAAAATTCAAAAAACGATATTGATAATTATCGTCCCATAACTTTACTCCCTACAATCTCAAAAGTTTTTGAAAAAGCAATGTTCGAACGTGTGTATAATTTCTGCGAAAAATATAAAATCTTTAGCGAATTTCAGAACGGTTTCCGTAAAAATCGATCTACCATACTAGCAGTATATAAATATACTCAAGATATTCTAAAGATGTTAAACAATAAAGAATTTGCAATAGGAATACAACTTAGATATGACCAAAGCATACGATAAGGTACAATATAATATATTACTTAATAAATTAAATAGTATAGGTGTTCGTGGGATTAGTTTAGAATGGTTCAAATCATACTTACAAGATAGAGAACAATATGTAGAAATAGAATACTTTAATAATAATAAAATAGTAAAAGTGAGATAAAATAAAATAATTGTAAATGCTTCAATAACCCAAGGTAGTGTATTGGGATGTTTATTATTTTTAATATATATTAATAATCTCAGTGAAACTATGGTTAACCCATGTGTTATGTTTGCGGACGATATTTCTATCTTAGCACCTTGTCGTGACGTAAATAACGTAAATGATATATTGTATAAAATATTTGAAAATACCGACCAATGGATGAAAGAGCATAACCTGGAAATAAACTACAAAAAAACAAAAATTTTGCCTTTTTTACCCCTATCAAAAAACGCCGATAAAAATTAATTTTTCTTACAAAAATACAAAAATCGAGACAGTAAATGAGCACACTCTACTCGGCATAGTTTTGGATAGTCACATCAACTGGAAATCTCACGTTCAGAAAATTCGTAATTGTCTAGTTTTGTATATGCCTTAAGTGAAATAAAAAAGACAACTGACCTCCAGACCGCGTTAATTACTTACAATGCCTATGCACAGGCGTGGCTATGGTACGGTATTATCCTGTGGGGTAACAGTACAGATGCAACCACCATCTTCATCTTACAGAAAAAACTAATTCGCATTATGTGTAACATAGAAAGAACTGAAAGTTGTCGTCCTCATTTTAAAAAACTTAAACTTCTTACCTTAATTTGTATTTATATATTGGAATTATGCAAATTTGTGCGCAAATACCCTAATTTCTACGTAAAAAGAGAAACTAAAATTACGGCTTATAGTTTAAGACACGGAAATAGATTATTGCTACCAACTTCTAAAATGAAGCTCTTTTTCTCAGGCCCTTACATAATGTCAAAAACTGTCTATAATAAACTACCAAACTCATTAAAAAACGATCATATTTTTATAAGACAATTAAAAGTGTTTCTAATCAATAAATGTTATTATACTTTATATGAATACCTGAATGACAAATGTAATAATGATAATGAAAACTATAAATAAATGAATGAATAACACGAATAATGATAGTATAATAATAAGGAATAATATAAATATAATGAATAATATAATAATTATAATGAATAATAAATAAAACATTTTGCGTCCTCCTCTGTTCTAATTTGCTATACCCGACAGGGTCCATATTGTGAAAATTGAATATTATTAATTTCTACATTATGGAATGCAAATAAATATATTGTATTGTATTGTATTGTAATGTGGAGAAGTAGGGATCACAACCGTTTCCATTTGCAGATCTGACACTGGTGTGTCCTGAAACTCTAAGATTTCTTGATTGACCCTAGCATACCACCTATATCCTCTACACCATCACCATTTGTCAAAATACCACCACCATCACAAATCACTACAAAGTGGTCAGGTTCCTTATCTCCCCCATAAGGAACAACTAATCCACTGGCTGTATTCCCCAATAAACTGGTAACACGATCCAGTATTTCGTCTGGGGGTATATACTCACCAACACCACCGCCAGTTTGCAAATCAAAAAAATGAATTTAATAAAGAATGTAAATAAAATTGATAATCATTTATTTATACTCAGATTAAAAGTAAATAAACAATGAAACTCACTTTTATGGTGTTCATTCTTATTGGGAAGGCATTCTTCTTTAAATTCTATTTCAGCCGAAGCTGTTGTGGTGTCCAACGACAATTTGTTGCCGTAGCACTAAACTGCTCGGCTATTCGTACCCACTCCTTGTCTTTCATTTTATTGCTGCTGGCGTTTGTGGCTTTAGACATTATAATTTTGCTCATTTCAATGAGTTCGAGTAAAGCTTTGTTTTCATCTTTAGAAAGTGGCTTGCTCTTTATCTGAAATAAAAAAAGCGATATATGTTGTTAAACGGGCTGGAAAATATACGTATTTCCACCAAGCATCAAATGATACAATATCTAATGTATTACAATATAACTTACTATTTGTGTCTCCATTATTTTGTTATTCACAAAGTATTTGCTGTAAATATTTCTGTTCCAAAGTTTAGTTTAATTCGAAAAAATGTTTATAACATATTATACAAGAATATAAGAAGAATACGAATACAAATGATCGAACCGAAGCAGTGTAACTTGATAATTTTTTTGACCGACGCGATGAGCGACGACGATGCGGCCGCTACTGACCGGCAACGTTCCGTTACGTGATTGTTTTCTAACTATAGTTACATTGATTTAAATAAAAATATAATCATTTTAAAATTTTAGGGAGAAAAAGGGAGTTAATGTAATAACTTGTAATTAGAGTCAATAGTAATAAATTTAAAATTACATTTTATGTTATTATATTAATACAACAGTTTGAATGAAGCAATAGTCGCTATGCATAAAACGAAACAGTCGAGAGGAAACGGATCGATCCAAACATGTTTGGATCGACTGCGATCGCCGCAAAAAAAGATTGGGCTTGTTAAGTTATGTTATTGGGATGTGGATTTGGATCGATCTTTGTATAGGTTACAATCTCGGATTGTCTTTAATCTTAAAACAGAGATACGTTATTAAGTTCGGGCTTATATGAAACAGTATTTTATACAAATTACTATTCGTTTATCAAAACTATATGCAAGATAAAATCTGTTTGCATGAATATTTAAAAATATAGCTAAAAGAAAAGAAAAGATTGGATTGAAAAGGCAGAAATGGGTACAGCTGAATTTAGAATATAGCACAATTTAATACGGGTATATTAGCTCAGTAACTTCTACTACAAACGAAAGTAGTGTATTATTTTACAATTTTTGATGCAATACGCAAAATATTATTCTTACATAATATGACACTACAAAATAGCAGAAAGAGGCAGTAATGAAAATAGTACTCGTATGTTGATTGTTGATCTTTTTTAAAACCTAAAATTAACACAGGTATTAACAAAATTTCACTTTTATTCTATGGCCAGAAAAAAGTACATTATTACTATGTGTAGAAATGTCTATGCTGTTAAATTATTTAGGATTTCCATTGTGCACAAGTTTTTTGAAACTGGGCACAAGTGACGATTGATTCTTGTCTGTACAGAAATGAGCATGAGAAAAAAGTTAACTACCTAAACAAAGTTACAACATTATTTCAAAATAAGATGGTGAAAAATACAAATTGATTTGTGCAATCTGATGTATTTATCTGGTGAGTATCTTAAGAGGTTAAAAAGGGAACTAAAAAAAGCTCTCCTGTTTAGTTCAGCAACATCCAGGCAGCAGCATTTTTCTGATAACAACTCAAAAGAAAAAAAAACATTCCTTCCTTGCATGAAAATTATGGCAAATATATCTATGTTTAGACTACTGAAAGGCTGTGATAAATGATGAACGATGTTACGAGAATAACTATCAAAACTATGATCTAAAAAAAACTAATTAATCTAGATAATTAGCTATTGCGTCTGATCTTTGTAGGTCAGTGTTTCATGTTTACAAGAAAATACACTCTTTGAGGTATAATTTTGAAGATTCAAGATGAAAATTAAATAAATAGCTCGACTCTCTATGAATAAAAGACGAACAAGACTAAAGAAGCGTACCCATACGTATGGTGAACATTTTATTGCCACAAGCATACTACCAGCCCATTCGAATAAGCAAAGCGTTCCGTAGAGAACTTTTTCTAGGCCACTTTTAACATCCTCTTCAATCCCTGTTTTTGCGATAGTGAAAAGGTTTAGAACAACTAATAATAATGCGGCTAGAGAATTCAACTTTATTACTTTTACTCTTTTAACAATAATGATTCCAATAGATTTCAAACGTAACTATTATTAACTTAACTTACTCATTTTTTGATCTCATTACAATTTGTGAGTTTTGTTAAAAGTTTAATATTTTTACGCCTGCTGTGGCTACTGTGTGATTTTAATAATATAAAATTAACTAATATGATTATACTCATATTTTGTTTTATTTTTTCATAAACCTTGAGATTATACTTTAATATATCTCTAAATTTGCTAGTATTATACAATTACATGAAAAATATAATATTGATTTTACTGCATTAACATATTTTTGTGTATTTGCCTTTACTAAACTATTTTAAGTACAGCTATAACTTTGTTATATTACATTTAATTTTGCCTCTTAAATTAAAAAATGGTCCAATAAGTCACTACTATAATGTTATTTAACCTTACTTGTGAAAAATTTTCCAGAATAATCCCGTGGGTTAATAATACTGTAATATATTGTTAGCGCATTTTCATAAGTTATTAAGCTCAACGCTAACATCAAAATCAGATTTTGTAAAAAAAAAAACTATTTTCACTTCCATGTCACTTGTGACTTAATATTCTAACGCGTCCCTTAGTTATACCATAAAAACAGTTAATCTTTTTTCCTGCAAAATTTAACTTTTACGATTACCGACATTATGCTAGAGGGCGTCGATATATTCACAGTTACAAAACAATACAAAGGCAAAATGTTCAATGGGATTAAAATAGTTAATTTAGAAATATAGTTATTTACAATAAATATAGTGATTTATAACTTATAAAATTCCAACAATGAAAAGTCCACCGTTTCAGCATTTTATAGCAGTAATTTTGCTTCAGAGCTGTTAGTCTGCCAACGCCACACCTATGATAAATATATGATGATACGAAATAATTATTATAATATTACGTTATATTTATAGTGATGATTACACTCCACCAAGAGTACATCCTCTGTTTCTTGGTTCTTCGAACTATAGGGCCACTTCATTGAGCTGTCTATTATCATTATTTCAAATTCACAAAACAGAGCAACGCCCTCTCCATGGCTCTACGACTTACCTTAAGTTTCCTCATGCGAGCAGTGAAAGACTACATCGCAGGTCCACATGGCATCACTGGCAACGTGCACTAATGTTTACTCTGGTTGAAAACCAGAAATTTTGAGGAAAACATACACAAGATTCCGCAGGGATTCTATTGGAATATATAATAAAATCGGTTATCACTTACTCTACATTTACAGTCTCCTAGGCTGACTTTGAAATAATAAATATTCACCATTGTTGTCTTTTTAGTCCCAGGATACTCGTATGACATCACTCTGTCTTACATCTGTCTGCGGTTGGATAGATTTCGTTCTCGGATTCTGTAATAGGATAACAATCACAGCTTTATTGTTCAAATATTTCATCAGTATATCTATATTCAACGAAGCACCGCTAAAACTAAAATGTCAAGCAGTACCCAAACTTCGGTAGAATCAAAGGCTTTACTTACCCACACACTTATACACTTTATCCATACATTCCAAATCAGGTTTTCCTCTTGTATTGTGAAAGCAGTTTGCAAAAATAAATTGCACTTGGTATACTCATTCTGTGCGGATTTCGAACCTGCGGTCCTCGTCCGGCGCTGCACCTCTTCTTCTACTCTTGCAATTAGTGAATCTTGAAAGCTGTACTTAAACACGTTTTAGAAAAGAAATCTCTTTGTAATTCTTCAGTAAAGCATTTTCGATTTTCTTGTAGAAGAAGGTGATCTTCTTTTGAAGGAGAACTTTTGTTTTATGACTCCAGAGTAGCACAACCTGGGAGGACGGAATGAAATTCTTCTGAAGGACTTTTAGTACTCGTCTTACTACTTTCAGAAACTCAGCTGTAGTTTTACGTTCACATACGGCCTTACCATTTTGTTGTAGGAGAATCATCCTTACCTCGTTAAAACTGACTGAAACGTCAGGGATGTCATTGGAATAGTGTCAGATAAAATATTCTCTTAGGTCGTTATTTACACTTGAAACTGGATCCAACATTGATGATTACGATACGGCCCGTAATTGACACGGCTACAGTCAGTCTTGAACTAAGAGAGGTGGCTCTTTTCAGCAGACATATCTCTGGCGAAGAGTTTGGAGCCTTGGTTTCACTTAATCGCTTTTTCTATAGGACCTGTATTAACTTGTGTAAGTCTTGCTGCATACATTTGGAGATCTGTCTGAAACACAGCTACAGGTAACTGACTGTTAGTTGTTATATATATATATATATATATATATATATATATATATATATATATATATATATATATATATATATATATATATATATATATATATTTAAAATGGTTGCTCTATTTCTCGTTTAATAGCTATGAGACTAAGAGTGTGATCGGAATGTTTTTGGGATGTTCTGAGGCGTTTTTACAAAACTTTGTTCCGATGGACAGTTTCCTAGAGTTTATAATTTGTGTAGTCGACTGTAATGCAACATTCTGGGAATTAAAAATGACTTTGAAAGAGTTAAGTTGTATTGATTTGAGAGAAACTGTTTATAGACTTTAATTTATTGTAGATCTATTTAAATAAATATTTAAAAAAAGTCAAATGTCAAAATACTAATATCTTTTAGATTTTAAAACGAGCTATTGGCAAATAACGTTTAAACATAAAAGTTTAAAATACAAACGTATGAGTAAGAAAATTAACATGTCAGTTAATTAATGTAAACAACGCTGGTTTAGTACTAATGGAAGTAAGGTATCACTCTATTTAATTGCACATACATGTGCTGAGGTTGCAACGTTAATTGAAACTAATAACATTGCTCGTGGCTCATTTACGTTACAAAGAGGACTTAATTGTATTGTGAAATAAATTGTTCAAAGGTTGCTGCGTATTAATTCCTATTGCATTTGTTAAGTAATTATTACTGTTAATCTTTATGATGTTAACTTTTTAATCTGTTAAAAACAATAAATATTTTTACAGTTTAAACATTTTTACAATTTTGGTGACATCAACTAATTACACACACTAAAAAAGCGTGTTTTTACTTTGTAAACAACTATAGCAAAATTCTCTAAATAAGACAATATACAACAGCCCTATTTTCAGCAGTGGACGTTTATAGGCTGTTATAAACGAATGAACTACAAATTAACGATTTTCTGATTATTCGTTTACTTGTGCTGTGAGACGTTGTTTCTTGCCAAATTTATGATTCTT